AACAAACAAGTTTTATGTTCTATTGTAAGTTATTATTGTGTTTTAGTTACTATTGTAAGTTTTCACGTACACAATTTCTGAATAATTTGAATTTCGTGACATATTAATAACCGATTATTACAGAAGAGGGCCATTAGAGCAATATATAATTTAAAACCAAAAGAGTCACTGAGACAAAAATTTAAAGAAATTAATATATTAACTCTGGCCTCTCAATACATTTATGAAAATGTAATGTACGTACACAAAAATAAAAGTAGTTTTGCGAAAATAAATGATATTCATTCTGTAAATACTAGGAACAGACACAAGCTGGTAGTACCAGTTACTCGACTCCACCGAGTCAGTAATTCATTCTTGGGGCGATGTATACGCTTCTACAACAAAATCCCAGAAAATATACAAAATTTGTCATACACAAAGTTCAAAAATGTTATTAAACTAAGTTTGTATAAAAAGGGTTATTATAATATTAAGGAATTTATAGATGATAATAACCCCTGGGAAGGGTGATCGCTACCAAGCTATTTCTAATTTGTCTTGTGTTGTTGATTGTAAACATGATTGTAAGCTATTATTGGAAAAAAATAGTCCCGCTGGGTTTCTTGCTGGTTCTTCCCAGGACAGAGGTTTTTTTTTGCGAACCAGTGGTAAATTAAAAAAAGTGACCTTCAATAAGTTATTTTTATAATCTACACATTCTGAATAAAAAATTTGTATTTCGTCTATTTCTATAACCGATGCCAATACAATAATTTGATAACTATGACCTAACAATCTCACAAGTAACATTACTGCTAATTATCAGTACGTGTTGTTTGTTTTTTTTTAACTTTAGTATTTTCATATACATAAGATACGTTTTCTATCGAATTTGAAGTCCACTACAGAACAAATCCGCCCCATGGAATATCACACAGCTTGATCCTGAGCCACCTGCATACAGTGAGCATCTTTTACATGGTCGTCAAACCTTTTAGTGCGGATCCGCTTCATTCGCTTACTGGTATAAAGTTGCCAGTCGTGAACATTTCTTCCGATATCTAATACAATTAAGGTACGTGAGGGTAATACAGCGACCTTAAGGTTTATCGCGCTGTAAAACCAAAACTATGACGCAGACAGAGACAAAAATACTAAGTCGTATACTATAACTAATATATTAAGAAAATAAATAGCAAAGAAACTTTTTAAATAATTAGACACTCTTCGAAAAACCTACCAAAAAATAACTAACTATATTACACAACACTAAAATCGACTAAATTATTTACTATAACGTAAACTATCAAAATAGCGTTGATGAAGCAGCACCAGAGAGCTATTGTTTAACAGACTCATCTAAGCCAATCAGCCTGTAGTTTTTGCGTTATAAGAAAGTGAGAATATTAATCGGATGACCATATTACCCTCGCGTACTATAGTTGTTAATAGAGTAATGTAATTATTTATATTATTCACTTTTTAATATTCAATCTTGTCAGTAGTATTATAAAATTAAATTTATATATACGTTATAAAATTTGCAAAATTAGTTTTATTTAATACATGACATATCGACGATTAGTAACGCAGTGTCTTATTGTTTCATCATTGGTTAAAATCCCGCACGTGACGAAAAGCGTACGTGCCTCCAAATTTTACCGAATCTGTATGATTGCCCATCTGTAACTTATGTATGTAAAATGCCTTTAGATATAGGAGAAATTCGCATGGTAGGGGATTTAAAAATAATATATACATATTTTTTATTTACTTATTCTGTAAAAGGATTAAAATTCAAAGTATCAGCTTTAACAAAAAAAAACTAATGAAGGGAACAAGGTATATTCTTAATTAACTTTTTACTACAAAGTTCATCAATCGCTTTTATATAAAATGCAAATTTCGCCTTTGTCACGAGAGTAATTAGAGCAAAAAGGTAGCGCGCCCACTAGCTGCTGACTATCAGCGTGTTGGTCGTTTGAGAAAACTTTTGCATCACAAACAGGACAACATCCAGTTTATATGTAATAAGGTACAAAAAAGTACTGGTAGCAAAATTCGCGTCCAGTTCGCTCCTTGATTTGCATTTTTTTGCGTTAACGGGAAAGTGAGGGAACGTAAAGCGAACCGACATTAATATTAATGGTTTTATTATATTGCTCCCGTGGGACTGAAAATGTCTATCTACACATAAAATACAAATAAAAAGTGTAATAAAAAGGCACGGAGGTATATTTACATCGGAATATACAAGAGGCTCTCTTGAGTATTTCTTGGGATTCTTTGCCTGCGTATTTATCTCTGTACTTAAGTTAGGTCGTAAGGAACCCTAAAATAGTGCTTGTACTATTTTCAATAATTTTCCTATTTTAAAAAATATACTGGATGAACTTTTTTATCATTTGAAAAAATAGGGTATAACATGTGAATGCAGCAGAAGCCTATGGCACTAGTATTTTGCTAAAAATAAATACAAAATTTTTGAATTAAACGTTTGAAAAAAAATTTTTATCTATTACTTTGCCCTTTGCCCTTAAGCCCTGTTGTGACCCTGCGAAGTGGCAAGGTCAAACATGCCTAATAAATTTATTGTTTTATTGCCGTTCGTAAAGGAGAGTGGAAATCATTTGAATTTCGATAGATTTTAATTAATTTAATTATTTAAGGCGAAATTTTTGTTTTTATTTCTTGTACAATATCAGTGCTATAGGCTTCTACTCCGTTTATATGTTACATCCCATTTTTTCCAGGCGGTAAAAAAGGTCATCTAGTATAATATTATGACAGAACACGGAGAATAATTTGCGAAAAAAATTTTCGTCTTATCGCGTTTAATTTGCTTAATTTTAATACCCGAAGTTTCGGGTGCTTTCCAGCACCCATGGCGGGTGACTGAGGTAATTGACGTTTCGATACATTTGGTCCAAACTATGCAAAATGAATTTACTGTACTTGCAGTGGTATGCTTGACTTTAGTTTTAATTTTATTAATAACAGGATCCCGAGCAGGAAGCCAGCCTCCTTCGCTATTGAAATTAGGATTATTTTTTAAAATTTCAAAACCTCATGCACGATCCTTGGCAGGAATCGATGTTCTTTCGCGAGGATTTGTGATCTATCAGATCTGATGTAATGGCTGGGGCCATTTAGGATATGGTCACAAACTGCAGATTTCCCGGAGCATTGGTGTTTCATGTCTGTTATATATTCTTTTACGAGGGTTTTACAGGTCGGGTTTACATGTGAAAGACCGGATTCTCAATCAAGTTTGTATACTCCTGCATCTTATGTATATTATACCTAACGGATGGTAAGAACTGACAAATCTGCTTCGGCGGCTTGTAAAATGTTCTAATGGAAGCTCGCTTTAAGATGTAGCCAATCTTGTCTTTGATACCTCTGACATATGGTAGTACAGCAGCCACTTGCTCGACTGTAGCCGGCTTTACTCGGCCCACATCACGTTGAAACGATAAAAACCGTAAAAGTAGTTTTATGAATAAAACTACTTTTATGGGTTTCCGAATTTCGGATTTTTACCCTTTTTGAGCAGAATAAGGAGAAGTTCAATTAAAGAACTAGAATGTATATTTGTTTTTGTGTCTTATGAGTTACTTTAAAATGTATATTTGTATCAAAAGTTATCAAATGTTGATTCCCTTAATCATAAATTTGAATTAGATAAATTAATGCATATTCATATATGCCATACAGCCTATGTACGTCCCACAACTGGACACACGCCTTCTCTCATTTCTGACAGGGTTTTAAGGCAAGGATATTCGTTCGTATTGTTATTGTTATTATTATTAATAAATAAACATCAACAATAAAAATTTACATTTTAAAACTTATCACTACTTACGTGTACTAGAAAAAATAACATATAAAAATATCATTTTAATAAGACTATATCATGTTTGTGATTGTTTTACACTTTTTCAGATACAGGAGATTTATTTCCCCCCCAATTTTGTTCCAACTTATCGTACAATTATCAATTATCATCACAACAAATATCTAAAATCTTTGCATCACAAAGCAATTTCTACAGCGACCACTGAAATCTACATAAGTATTCTCCAAATTATTAGACCTCATCGACAAACAAAACCTAATACCCGTTATTGTTTTGAGTTCAACAATTATTATCAATATAAATGTATGATCATATCAATACCTTTTTGTTGGGTTCCATACCACTATCAAACACGATAACGAAGGAGAACAAATGCCATTATCAAACCTTAATTTTTTTTTAAATTTAAAGTTTATGATAAATATATTTCAGTTTTTAAAAGAAAGAGGCTATGGCTGGGTGTAGCCTTCGGCACAAGTATTTTAAATACTTAAAAGGAGTTCTCGACTATAACACTGTAATAATTTTATAATATCCTTAATACCCAATAAAAAAAATTATTTCGTTTATTATTACTGTGAATTGAAGCGCAATCGTGATGCCTTCAGTAAATAGTCGCTAACTTTGTTAACGAAACGATAGATATATAGTACATTACGTCGTATAATATAAAATATTTTCATCAACATAAACCCTCACACTGGTCACCCAAAGCGATAGTCAGAGTCTATGGACTTCCATGTAGCACGATCATGACACAACTCTCTCGCATAATTAACACCATATACCCACACCAGCGTGTATCGTCGGATAAGAGTTCTTTTAATTAGGCCGTTCTTTAACCCTTTACAACCGGAGATTTTTTTTTAGATTCTAACCATAAAACTTTTATGTTGCCTTCCTACTAGGTATATAGAGCTCAAAAAAATCAGTTAAAAAAATCTCGAGGTCATAGCTTACCCACAAATCCACCCGCACGATCGTGAGTCGCAGGTCGTACACGACATAGTCACGATTGTGAGGGTAATTTAAACTAGCCCTATGTTTTAGTACTTTAAAGAATAATTAAAAAAGCTTATACTTAATCACCCTCTTTATTAATTATTTAGTTATTTTAATCATTCAGTCTCATATAATTTTTTTTTAGAACTAAACATTAATTCGTGCCTTTGGCAACATGATACAAAATTTTCTGTAAAATATATACAAAACAAAACAAACTTTTAAAGTTGTACGCTACAATAAAAAATAATTTTAATTAATGCTTCTAAAGCAAATCAGGAACTATCAGATCATCCTCTGGTATGGTAAGACTTGAAACAGTCTTTGCCACGTGCGATACACAAATACGTGTCGCATTTTGTGCAGCGTACCTTTGTGCGACTGGTACAATTTTCGTACCTGCACATTCTAGGTGCTCTTATTTCGTCGAACACTGGAAAATGTTCGTATCCATCATACCGCTTTGATTCAGACGGCTTGTTTGCTGGTCTGTACTGTCTTTTCGGAAGAGGAGATTCATTTTCATCCAGCGGCGGTTCATTTTCAATATTGCCCGTCGATGGCCGGTTTCTTGCCGGCAAACTTGACAATCCATCAGCAATGTTCATGAGGAAGTCTAACAAGGGCAAAATTTCCCTCCTGCTTAATTTATTTGCCATACAATCATTACGATACAGTCGCCAAGAATTGACAATTGCCAAGTCAAGAAAGTGTATCAGTACTTTCAGTGTCCATTTCTTTGTTTTGATGAATGTCCGATAATACTCCATCTGCTGGTCCAGAACATCAACACCCCCCCATGTGTTGGTTGTAATGCTCGACTACTTTTGGGACAGGTACGTCTACGTACATCTTCAAGTGTTTTTCCCATCTCTTGACGATTGAAGATGAGGTCGAGCCGGTGCAGTTTGACGCCATTAGAACGAACTTATTGTCTTTCCATTTGACGACGACAGTCGGTCCGCAAACGTACTGCTGTGATTCTCCGTGAGCCATTCTAGCATCTGGTTTAAATTTAATCGCAGTACGGTCAGGGATCCTGTTGAACATGATTGTTCCCGTACTGTGAAGATTCCTCTTTGTCATCTCTTCAATTAGCGGAACAGTCGTAAAATATCTTTCGTGGTAGACACAGCTTCCAGGCGGTACACTTTTCACCAGATGCAGAACCACAGAAGCTCCAAGTCCAAGAGATGTATCTGCAAACATGGTTTTAGCTCCTCGATATATGTCGAAGTCTAGCATCAAGCCTTCACTTGTGGTCAGCACAAAGTTCTTCAAACCCACCGGGCGCGGCTTATTTCGGACTACCTGGCAAAGTACACATCTGCCAGTAAATGGTACCATTTGCTCGTCAATAGAGTAGAAGCCAGGAACTCTTTCAAGTTTGTTACAGGCTAATTTTAACCGGTCAATCATCGGCTGTACTTTCCACAGTGGATTGTTACTATTACTTGGCGGAGCTTCATCAGCATCTACGATGTGCAATGCATTGCGGACAGTCAAGAACCTGTCACGAGCCATTTGTTGAGTTATTATATCCAGTTTTATTCCACCTCTCCAATACATCGGGACACGGGGGTAGGGAATACATCCAATGATGATGTGTATTGAAAAAACTCTGGCTACTTCAACTGTTGTAAGTTTCAGTTCCAGGCCCGTTTTTCTGTGATGGTACATGTTTGTGCATCTGGCAATTTCATCAAAAAACTCTCTGTTGAAATAGTCGGAGAAATACTCCATTGGAGTCCTGACCGGAGTAACGGGCAAGGGAGCATAGTCATGACTACAATCGTCGAAAGGTACCTGCTTCCAAACTCTCTTTCGAGAAGGTGGCCGTAAAGATCGAGGGCGCGGAGTTAGTTGTGATGGTCCAGGAGTATCTTGCATCGGTTTCGGCTCCGGTGCTACAGACGGCTGTGGTTCAGGCTCTGGATCATCCAACTGAAGATTTTCGAAAGTGCTGGGTTGGATTTCATCGTCGTCGTCCTCAAAATCTTCGATGTCGGAGAAGTTTACATCGCCCAGCAATTGTATAACTTGATCTTCGTTCAAACTTCTGCCTAAAACGTTAAAAAAAGTAACTATTAATTACAAAATCTACGTAAAAACAATCATCAAGTACAGTACCCACTCCCGAATAATGTTTCGGTAGTACAACCGGAGCCGCACGATCGTAGCGGTCGTATTTTATAACGTAATTCTAACGAAACCGTAAAGGTCAGCACAAAATCAAAATAATCTAGGTATTGGGTTATCTTTTAACTTTAAAATAATTATAAACCACAATCAAATACTTTCAAATTACTATTAAAAATAATTACTTACCCGCGGCGCGGCGAGGATCAAAAAACGCAGCCATCTTTCGTCTCAGCTCACAGGTGACTGACTGCTCCCATCCCACCCGTATCTATTTTCCGCGCGTAAAATACACCTCGCGAACGATCGACGCCGGTTGCGTTCGGAAAAAGTAAACCGTTTGGTGCCAGTATTTTTTTGAATTTAAACTCACGATCGTATCAGTCCGAGTGTAAAGGGTTAATAGCCAATTTGGTCGATAAACTTCCGTATACGGCGTTACTTACCGACTCCTCCATTCACATATTTTTTGTTTTATTAATTCTGCTCTTTTTATACTGTCTGGAAAAACGAAAGGTGTAACATGTGAACGGAGTAGAAGCCTATGGCACTGATATTTTACATAAAATAAAAACAAAAATTTTGAATTAAATAAATACTTGAATAAATTCAAATCATATCCACCCCTGCGAAGTGACAAAGTCATAGATGCCCACTAAATTTAATGTTTTATTGCCGTTCGTAAAGTAGGGTGGACATGATTTGAACTTCTATAGATTTTAATTTATATATTTATTTAATTCAAAATTTTTGTCTTTATATTTTGTAAGATATCGGTGCCATAGGATTTTACTCCATTCACATGTTACACGCATTTTCAGACTATAAAAAAGTTTATCCGATATAGAATACTTTATTGTGACTATTATTTTGACGACAGACAAGTTAGTGAATAATAAAGTAGGTTAACAAATCCATATATTTTAAGATTATATAAACTGGCAAAGTAGAGATGCGTCAAAGGTTGGTACGTGACATGTAGTATTGCGATTGTTAACACTTGTCACATAACATTTATAACTAGTCAAAGAATTTTAAAATATTGCTACCAACTGATTGCTATTTAATTTTGTCTGATTTCGATTTTTCCTTTTAAATAGCATATCGAGGCAAAACGCGATTATTTTATATTCTGTATTGGGGATATCTGTGTGTAATATACAGTTGAAAGTAAAACATCTTCCTTAATACCCAAGTCCACTTGGCGACCTCTATTCTATATAGACACATAGACGATTCTACAAGCATTTCTCATAGTCTCTTATGACACCAATGAGATGAAGGGATGATATGAAATCCTGTTAGGACTCCGAAACGTTGCAGCGCTGTGTTATGTCCTTTGCTAACAAAAACTTTAAATGCTTAATATGAAAATAATTAATATCTAAGATCTTCTATCCATAAATTACCTATAAAAGTAAAGATATTAATAGTTACTTTGCAACCATCTGCTCAATTAAGTGAAATGATGTGTCTTACCTAGTTTGAAGAGCACCAACACCACTATTCTAGGAAAGACACACCATCGACGATAATACGACACATGTTTCGCCTCTACACGAGGCATCTTCAGGTGATGTAGATTTCAGGTGATGAAGATGCCTCGTGTAGAGGCGAAACACGTGTCGTATTATGGTCAATGGTGTGTCTTTCCTAGAATAGCCGTGTTGGTGCAATCATTTTATTTAATTGAGCTGATGGTTGCAAAGTAAGTATTAATATCTTTATTATAATGGATTTCCTTAAAGTAACACCTGATTCTATCAATTACCTATCAAAAGACCATTGATGAAAATAGGCCTCTCCATAGATTGCCTCATAATTGCCATGCCTTGCGGTTGGGTTGCCAACCGCAGTTTTTTTAAGTTTTGGAGGAAGATGCTTCTGCCCATTTCGTGTATCATGTTCCTCCGTGGCACCATTCGTCCTCCGACCTCGTCGCAATAAAAGAAGCAACAAAATATATTCAAATAATATAATAAAAAAAAAAAATATATATATATATATATATATATTATTTGAAATTTGAATATTATATATCATTCGACTTTAATAAGTGTGTTATCATTCCTAATTAAATAAACAACTCTTCTAAATTTAAAACGACATTTCTACAATTATATGTTATGTGGCAGCAACACGCCGGCTACCAGCGAGTAGATTATATACATTCGGATCTCGGATTCACTTATGTCACCATACACGGCTATCAAGGCTCTAAAATATTATTTAAGTATTTTAAATTGGCATTAAGGAAAATCGTTAGGTGTTTACATTTTGAAATTATTTATACGCTATTATATAAAAAACAAACTTTTGACTTAGGGTATGCGAAATTTAAAATAAACCTTGATTTGAATCTACTAGTTGACTATAAATAACGCAAGTATTAATAATTTTTAAAGTTACAAGTACTAAAATCAGCTTTGCTTGATTACAGAAGGGCAATTAAGTTTGTAGTAATTACTTCCTTTTTTTCTTATCTCATTCTTTAATATTCCTAAGTGGACGCAGGCAATTTTATAAAGAGCCGAAAGAGAAAATCCCATGTAATTTGCGGGAACCATTCGGCAATAAATGAAATGAAAATTTGAGACAAAAGTGGACCGAAATTACTTTAGTACGTAAGCTTTTAACACAGATGACTGAGTACACAGAGAGACTAATGGAATGCTATTTAAATGCCATACGGGTTTGAAATCTATGCATTTACTTAAAAAAAATTATGTAAAAAATGTGTTTTTTATTCTTCTTGTACGTGGTTTCTGAAAATGGATGTAAATAGAAAACCTTTTTATTGCATTGACCTCTTTTTCGAAAATCAAACACAAAATGTGTTATTATTGAAGTATACATACAAAAAAACATACAAAAAAGCATACAAAAAAATCGCCAAATACAAAGATCAAGAGTAAGACTAAGACATCCGTGCTTATAAAGGAACGTCTGCGAAGGAGAAGGGGGTCAGGGGATAGTTTACTGACCCTTCTTTGCTCTTACAAAAGTGTATATATAACTTCTGATCAAGTAAATTGAAACTTTGACCCGAAGTATTAGTCTTACTCTTTACTATTATACAAATAAAAAATTACAATTTGATGCATCCATCAATCCATTTCAGTCTATAAAAGCAATCGCAGTTTATTATTATTTTGAAATGTTATCACTCCCCTCCGTCGCCTCTTAGATACCCTCATAACGATATTTGATGTATAATGAATATAACAACCATGTTTATTTTTAATTCTGAATTTGTAAAATCTAGTTACTTGTGTACGTTTTAATAGGTAGTTTCTCAGAGAGTCAGTCAGAAGTATAAAGGATGACGTTAATGAAATAGGATTGAAAGGAGATTGAAAATATTATTAAACTAGGAGATTTTAATGGAAGATTTAATGTGAGTGGTCTTGTTATTTAAGGGTGAATGAAAATGGTGAACGACTTCTCACATTATGTTTGAAAAGAAATCTTCTAGTGACAAACATCTTTCTTGTCATCAAACAATTCATATGTTTGTGTAGAAGGTAGACAAAACAAAGGGTTATTGGGTAATTGCGTGTTCAGAAGCCTTAACTGGAGTACCTGCGAATTAATGAACGGTAAGTGATCCACTACAACAGCTACGATGGGGTCGTTTGTGGTTGCCCAACCAAATTACACGGAAACTGCTGAATAATTCTTGGGCGCGCTTGTTACATATACCGTCTAGCAATTATTTGGATTAATTATGGTATAGCACCTTATTTTTACATGGGGTGCAAAGATCAATGAATACTATAGAAATCAGGAGCTCGTCGTCGTTACGCAAAGATGATCAAACAGCGAGATGCACAGATAATAGTGAGTGAGATATTAATAATGTTTTAGAGTTGTAAATACCTGACATACTCCAATTCGCAAGTTACATACGAGATATGTCACACAAAGTTAGATTATTTGTCATAAAAATCAGATAGCCTTTTTGGCGTGTTGGAAAGCAAAGTTATGCCGAAGAAGTGAGAGACAGATTTGGTTAGGAACGCCCGAGACGGATGTTCATCGACCAAATTGAAAGAAACATAGAAAAAACGTTCATTTCTCATACGCCACAATATTACACGCTTTTAATATACATTTAAAATAAATATTTATTAACACTACAATATATAGTCAAAAATACATCAAAATTTATATTTGACATGTTTAATTTTATATAAATCGATATGTTGAGATTAAGTTACTTATTCAGAACGAAGACCACTACATAATTGTTAGGTGATAGATTTATTTATAAATTAAAAAGTTTAAATGTTGCTCAATTTCGCACCAGCGAGTTTCGCGAGTCCAAACTGCGTATTTTTAGTCAACAAGAAACCGGTGCAGTAGCGAATTCACAGACATTGTACCAATTGTTTTCATGTATATTAGAGTACCAAATAGACTTGTATGCGATGCCGTTTGGCAAGTTCAGAAATCGGCTGCTAGCGTCTAGATTTTAATTTTTTCTTATAAAAGTGATAAATAAGTGCTCAGTCCACTTGATGGTAAGTGAATGCTGTAGTTCGTAATCATTTACACCTGATCTAGATTAGGAATCAAAATACAGATGCGTTGTCACCCTTGAGGACTAAGATGAAATGTTTTGTTTCAAGTTAAAAGGGTCTTCGGATCTTTACACTCACCATACGAATATAGCTAAGCTAGTATTTTGTGAGGGCGTGAGTGTGAGCTCGAGGGGGTTGAATCAGATTGAGCCAACCCGTTCAAAAATACATAAGCTGTTACCATAATATAGCTGCGGCATGGCACAAAAGAAAAACTCATCCCGTTTATATGTCAGTGCCAGTAGATTTTGCTCTAGCATTTGTAACTTGCCGATAAACCTCATGCAAAGAATGATATTTTTATCACGTATTTATTACACGTAAGATTTCCTCATATTCAGGTGATTTTAAAACCGCAATTTTTTTTTTGTATTCTTGATCGAAATATATTGCTGACCATCTCCTGCTCCAGGTTTGATATGTGTTTATGTTAGCCATTATGTTTTTTGTTATTTATGGGGGGTAAACGAGCATGCGGGTGATGGTAAGTGACTACCGCCGCCCATAAAAAACTGCAACACCGGGTGAATTGCAGGGCGTTGCCAGCCTTTGAAAAAAGGGTAGGTTCTTTTCTTGGAGGTCTCGAAATCGTAATAACCCGGAAAAATCGCTGGTGGCTGCATTTCACAAGGAAAGTGTATAGAGAAGAAAACTTCTAGTAAATCGCACAGTGATGGACCGCCAATCATCCAGATGGTAACGCGATGTGCGGTGGTTAAATTTAGCGTCCGGAATTAATGTGAACACTTCCTCTGAGCGCTCCTGGTTGTAGATGCGATAGAATTGGCAAGTATTCTACATGAAATACAAATTGTAATATATCACCATGGTTTGGCGGCTTAAAGTTATCAACTACCCCATATTATTCCTTGGGTCTCGTAAGAGACGGTAGAAGATAACTGAAACAGGAGATAAGCAGCCTGCCTGGCACTATAACAAATATAGAAGATATTTCCCATTGAGACAATCATTGGCGGAGGCTGATTTAGCAGGTGATTATTGATAAGCTCAAGCGAATGAATGAATTCTGCAATGTATGTGCGTGTGATGTTATAAGTCAGTACTTAACACCGAAGAAAAAACGGCGAAGATGAAATTTTGATCCTCACACGACAGAACGTCTGCGAAGTTGAAGAAGAGTCATAAAATATACGTTTATGTCGTCCTTTTTCTGACACTTTTTCTCCTTCTTGGATGTTATTCTTCTTGCCAAGAGTTTTCTAAAAAAAATCGTACGATTCCACAGCGTTGGATTTTAGCAATAATCACAGTACACGCATAAACAATACACACGGTAATCTAAACTTAATCTATATCAGTAAAATCTAAACTAAATGTATATCATAAAGGCCTAAAATAGAATAATATGCAATTTACGATTGTATTTCCCTTGTACTCTTGTTTGATTAAGAATATGTACTCAAATTAGTTGTATTTATATTAATCTGATTCGATTTGAATGTACTAGATAATAAATAGTAAGATAATTAATTACATTAACAGAAGTTAATACATAAATGTGTTAATCTCAGACAATGTCCACAGAGGCTTGCGTATGCAAACGTCTATTCGAATTATTACATCTTATTAACGCTTCAATCAGCAGGCTTTCTGTAAATCCGATTATAATAGAACTTTCAAAGAGCCTCACGTATAACTATTAATGAGATTATAATTATTATGTATTATTAATATTATTCAAATAGTAGGATTGGATAAGCTTACAAAGGTATTTCTAACTTAATACGTGTATATAACATTTTCTATTAATTATCAAATATTGTACTGGTGTAAAATAAGTTGTAAAGTCGAAATAAGTATAATTATTTACAGAAGTGTATCCGCTTACGTTGCCTTTTGGACTTCATCTATATAAATAAATAAAAAATTGAAGTATCTATTTGTAATTTCAAAGTCACAGCTAATGCATATAAAAATATATATGGTACTTATAACAAAAATACAATTTTTTTTTAACTTTTGCCTGTCTGTTTGTTCCGGCTAATCTCCGAAATGGCTTAACCGATTTTGACTGAACTGCCACTGGCAGATAGCTGATATTACAAGGAGTAACTTAAGCTACTTTTATTACTATGATAAATAATAAGTTATATGGCTCCGCGCAAAAAATATAATACATTTTTTACTGATCGGCCGACACAAGCAAACTCTAATCAGATCTTTACTGGTCCTTGGCTATGCTATTAACCTCTACTGCTAATTAATAAATTACAGTTTATAAAAAGAGTCATCCAATTGCTAAGAGATAACAATTAAGCGTAAGTGGTACTTTTTTCATGCCCAAGCTACCATTCTAAAGATAACAGTTCCTTGAAATCTTTGCCAAGTCGTCTGAATAGTACAGTCATAAAAACTGCCACTTACGTAAACGTTATGATATAAAATATAGACTCTAGGCAAGCAAACTTACTTAGCTTTACTGTTTCCTTTGTTATTTTATGTTGAAATAAGACCACCTACGCATTTGTAAAACTGGCCGCCACAATCTGGCCACAATAAGCAGCTAACTAAAATGAAAAATTTATAAAGTAAAAGTAATAATTTATAAAAGAAGTTTTAAGAAAGTATGCATTTAAATTTATCAATTTAATTTCTTTTTATTATAGGTATTACAATGCAAAAGTATAGAGCACCCTTGAGCCCAACAGTATCTATCACTATCAATACAATAAAATATTCATGATATGTTAATTTTAGAACAATGAAATGAGTCTATTTTTTAATATCTTAACACACTTGATGATTTTGTATTTTATTAAAACATTTCTGATCACCTGAATTTTTCTGAACTTCAGTACTACAGCAGTTTGAATAGTTGAGATACATTTTAAATTAGATATAAATTATGATTAATAATAATCAAGGCTGTATCGTGCATTCCACTCGCTTTTAATTTTTAACATAGTTATTTAAAATGAACAATTCTGTTTACAATAGCAAGTAGATTTTTGAATCAACATTTGTTAACAATTATCGGAACTTCGCATGTAATAACTGATGAAAATGGAAAAGCATATAACAATTTAACAATCAAATGTATTTCATCAATACATTTTATAATTTGTAATTTGTAAGTTAATAATAAAATCATTGTTGAATTCGACTGAACATAAACAGTGTTATAATTATTCAAAAAAATATTTGCTTTCAAGTTATATGTTTTATTCTGGATAAGAGAAGCCGAAGATCGTGCTAACCTTGGAAGAGGTCTACGTCCAGCAGTGTACTGCCGCTGGCTGATTATGATGATGATGTTAAAACGATATCTGACTGATTACGACCAAGATTATATGACCTTATGATGAGAATACCCTCATCTCTCGTCACTAAACTAAACACTTGAATTGCGTCTATATCTTAGCTCAGGCTGTCGTTTCAAGCGCAGAAAGACTACTAAGTTCTTCTCTGATATATTTCTGTTGGTAATTTATAATTTATAGCACACAAATCCAGATACTACTTTAGAGCCATTTATTTATCTAGAAATAACTTTACAATTTTAGTTAATTTTAGTTAAAATAGCTTTAATTAAAGTCTGTTTAATTTTAACGCTATAATATAATATGGTTATATAATTCAATAGTCCCACTATCAGGATATTGGTCAGTCTAATAGCACTGCTGAATATCCTCAGTTATATCCCCATATTAATCACTCTAATTAAGCATAAAATGTTTGCCCTGGGAAAGGTTCACGACGGTAGCTGAATTCAAGCGCATGACTTTTAAGTTTCGCAGTCCGTACCCTTAAGGATTACGCTACGTTGTTTGATTGTATTGACTGAAAATTAAATGTAAATTATAAAGCTCCATTAGGATTTAATTCGTGACTATTTACGCCAGACGGTCGGGGATGAATCCCTGAAGGTCCACCGTCCGTTCAGTCCGATTCCAAAGTCGTTCCATGTTGTACGGGTAACTCAATTACAACCATATAATATGTCTCAAAAAGTTTATCGTAATAAGTAAAAAAAAAACATTTACCTGGGAGAGCAACGCTGCGACAGTATTATACCCAAATGGTCAAATACCAACATAAAATAGTAGAATAATGCTCGATTGATTAAGAGACATTCCATCTCAGTCCTCAGATGTCAACGCATCATCAATCGTAATATTTATCGATAAAAGGCAGGTTTATTTGATCATTGGCATTCACTTACTATCAGATGGACTATGTGCCGTAATACGTGGTAGATGCATGCTGCAGCTATGTTATGGTTGTAGCACGAATGGATCGGCTCGACCGTGAAAGAACCAATCTTTCACAGAATACCAGCGGAACTAGAGACACCTTTTTAGTGGAAACGAGGCATTCAATCTTAGTGCTCAGGGTTGACAACGCATCTGCATTTAGATTTTAATAGACGATAGATGTAGATATCTACGAGTATGTAGTGATTGTTTGTCACCATTACATGTTTATAGAATCCTCATATCGCACAATGTTTCCACTGTCTTTGCTGCATTTGTACGCTACATTATTTATTAAGTACATTGAGACCCACACCCGTGTACTCCTGTAAGACAATATCAATATACAACAATAGAGTGTACTCCATGAATATGAAACCAATATCTTATATTTATCACCTGAAGACAACACAGTTTTATCTAGGATTTTATTTGCTTGATTTACAATTGGAACACGATTATTGCTTAGTACTCGAAATAGACTATGATCACATCAAAGTTAGAAAATTTGTGTATACGTGGTTAAAGCAAGCTGCTGCTATATTTCGATTGTAGCACCAATTGGTCGGCTCGACCGTGGAAGAACCACGCACTCACAGAATACCAAAATAAAATAGCAGCTTAATGCTGCTGTGTTTCGTATGGCATTCCCTTTTCACTGGAAATAAGACATTCTATCTAAGGTGAGATGAGATGTCTATGGGCCACAGAATCCACTTACCATCAGATGGACTGTATGCTCTCTTGTCGACCTTATTATATAAAACGTGGTAGAGCCACGCTGCAGAGTAATATGGATGCGACACATCATATTGATCTACTCGACCTGGATAGGAACACGCTGGCCCAAAATGTAACTATGTGGTAGAACTTTTCTACCTAAGACTCCATTTAGGTATATACTTCTGTTGCCAAATAGCAATGCTTGCATTGCTGCGTTCCAGTAAGGGGTCTGATGGGGAAAACCGGTATAATTACAGACTGTGAGGAGACATTCCAATTTAGTCCTCAGTGGTAAAACACATCTGTAGTCTTCTGTGTCTAACGTGGGATGCAGGTGGCCATGTGCTGCAGTAACCACTTACCATCCCCCCCAAACGGGGTCCGCGTTGTCATGGCGGGGTAGCTTAGTAGTCGTGGTTTGCTCACCCGTGGTCAACAAATAGGAACCCACACATCTGGCCCGAGGTGGTCACTCCGAGTAGACTTGGTGAGCCCACTTCGGATGTGAGTTGGTGGGCTGTGGTGAGAGCGGTGTCCTCTCCTTCTACCGCTGCAGCTGAGGAGGAGTTACAGAGGAAGAAGAGTGTTGTATGGCTATGCGTTACTTGCCCTATCCTCTGCGACTCTGACGGGGTCACATCGTTGAGGCGGTGGTGATGAGGCTGCGCAGGGAGAGATATATCGATATTGAGATGTACCGCTCTCTCTTCCCTCCATAGTTGAATCATGGTTAGCGGCGGAGCTATAGACCAGATCCACCACTCGGGTCAGGAATGCTAGTGCTTCTGAATGTTCGTTATTCCAGGCTCCATGGCGCGTGCGTTGTACAGGTGAAGTTGTAAGCTGCGGTGAAAGACGCACCATATGATCTGGTGTGCCTAACCTGAGAAGGAGACGACGGGGGAAACACCTCTCTCGAGGAGGGGCTACCATGTGGCTGCCGGCGCTATGTGCGATAACGTAGCCTTGCCAATATGCGGCGAAAGTAGAACACTATCCTTCCTTGCCCCGGAATTCGAGTATGCGTAGACATATCCTCATGTAAAAAAACCACTTACTATCAGGTGCACTGTAAGATCGCTCGGTACTTTGGTTTTGCCGTTACTTTAAAGCCTGTTAAAAGTCCTCTGCTGAACATAGGCTTCCCCCATAGAATAACTTGAGATCAGGGGATCTTAAGAGGATACCCCTGAATAAATTTGTTAAATAATTGCCATAGTTGCCATGCTTAGTAGACATGTTTGAAACCACAGTTATAGTTGGTATCAAAAGACACTAACTGCCCATCTCCTGGTTTTTTTCATCTCTCGCCTTTTAAGACACTCACGGAACGATACGGTGTAGTGGATATTCTTACACCGCCACTACGTGATACACATTATGAGTAGCAGGTACATCAATCTATACATATTATAATATTGTAAACAGATTTTAGTTCCCTTTTTCTGTGCGGTTCGAACATGCTAATTTTTCCAATGGCTGCACTAAGTTGGATGTAGTCTAATCTTACTCATCAATCATATCTTAAACTACAATTTAAGTGTTATTTTATTAGATTTTTTCTGTACAGGAAATCGACGTGTAAAAACCCACATGCCTAGGAATTTAGTAATATATATTTCAAGGATATGTGATTTCCACAAACATGCTATAAAGCAGCGTTGCGATCTGTATCTTGGTAGTTATCTCTGATTAATAAAAGGAAGTCTTTGTTTGGCAATAGGGCTCATAAAGCTTACTGCTATCTCTGAAACAAGACAAACAAATAACAAGACTTTTTTAAACGCGTTTCGACAAGTGACAAAAACATTCCTTTTGAATCACGCTCTTTATAATATAGAAGAATGTATGAAATGTTCATTTTCTGATTTGTTTTACATATAAAATAATGTAAATGTAAATGAGATGTATTTTAAATTGTAATTTTAATAATCTAACGAAACTTATTTGAATTGTAATTTTAACGTATTAATGTTATGTAATGTAACAAAATGGTCAATAAATAAATAAAATATATACAAACTTTACACTAAAATTGCAGTAATACGCGTATGCGACGAGATTACTCCTTTTTAAAGGCTGATAATGCAACTGAAATTTTCCCGGTGTTCCAGATGTTATTGAACAGCGGTCGCCACTTAGCCTTAGTAAAGGCCTTAACCATCCCTCCGTTTTTGTAAAAAAAAATGCTAAAAAAGGAAACCTGTTAACACAAACACCAAGCACAAATCTACTATACGACATGCAATTGCAATTAATCTGAACTAAGTGTCGTTTGCAGTCGAGTAACACAAGATGCCCACAAAGTATTTTAGCTACGAAAGGAGTTCGATGCGAGCTCGACCGATGAACCCGACGTATAAACCACAAAATAAACGAAATTGCGAAAATAAACTTTAATGTCTATATGTTAGGTGTAAAAATGGTAGATCAGTGAAACACAGCGTGAAGCTCCATTTAGAATCAACAATGGACTCTCGTTTCCAATTCTGTGACAGCCGGCGACAGGTCGAAGCTAGGCCCGGCCGGAACTCATGTCCGTTAATGCCCAAAGCGAAGCGATTTCTCATTGACATTACCAAAATTGAGAGGGACGAAGTTTGCGTTAAAAATATGTGTCTGATCTTATAATTATGTGCTTATATATTAAATATTTTTATTTTATTTACTAATTGCCTGGATTATTTCATCACCATCTTTACAACCCTTCATAAGTCCACTGTCGAACATAGGCTACCTGCACTCATCGACTTCCTGCATGTGCTACCAGGTCGTCGCTCCATCTAGTGGGAGCCACCCAACACTTCGCCTACCGGTACGAGGCTGCCACTCGAGATCCTTTATTCCTCACCGGTTGTCTGTTATTATTATGTAAGTAAAATCAGAAATTAAATATCGGAAGGCTTGAAT